AGTTTCTGCAGTGAATCCGCCATTACTGCGCGCTCGAACGCGTGAGGGTGAGGGTTCCGCGCGCGAACTGAGCGGAGGAGGGGAGACGCCGTGTATCACTCTGCCTGTGTCTGTGCGTCCGCATTAAAGATAAAAAAATGGGGTAGTGTGATTAGTGGGAAAGAGCGATAGATGGAGAAGGACACGACCTTGAAGATAACCAATCAGAAGTGGAGAAGAGGCATTGCGAAAGAACACACATGCTGGGAATGAGACGAATGGCACCGAAGAACACATACAGGAACTACATATTTTCATAACACGTTATGCAAAATAGATCCAAGATGTGCGCAGAACGCTGTTGCCTTTTAAGCAGTAATTATCTGCCACCCAAACTATCGCTATGCATGCTTTAAAACTGTGAAACTGACAAGCGTGCAGATGGTAAGGGTAAAAGATCATTGAAGTGGTGGAGGTGATTAAGGGTATGTGACTGTTGACAATTATGGTGACTTAATTTATTTTTGTGGATGTCTTAAAAAACGCATATATCATAAGGTGACCGGACTACTGAAGCATAGTGCACAGTAAGGTCCCTGAAAAGGCCCTGCCACTGCGAAGAAGCAGATATGAATGTAGGAGTTACGTTTGCCGCCCACTTTAGATACCCATAGCCCCTACTTCTGTAGTTAATTTTAGTTCAGTTTCTAGTTTATTATTTACTTTATTGGTTTAATGTTAGCTTTGGTTTAGTTCAGTTGGTAAAATGGATTTGTAGGACCCCTCCAGATATCTATCCCCCACCTAACTGCTTAAAGTATTTTGTGGCCAAACATTTAATTCGTGGTTAGTGAGCGTAAATTAATATGTAATTAAGGCGAAATTCAACAAAAAAGATTAAATTAAATAAGATTATGTTTGTTTTAGTATGCTAAATAGAATCAAATTGAATCAACACAAACTTCTATTGCGTAGGATACGAATGTTAATCGAGGGAAATTTTAACCTTATGAAGGCGGAATTTAACGAAAAAATTTTGACAGTAGTTTTTTTATTATAAGTCGAAGGGAATTTTGCGGCGTCTATAATTAATCTTGCCGTTCCGTTTTTTAGTTTAGTTAGAAAGCGCCCACCATAGATAAGTATACTTAAATAACTAACAAATACGCAGGTAACTAAGCTAACGAATTGAGGCAAATGTTCGCATCCCAGGTACGTGTGTAGATAGACAAGTAGAAGGCGTTGCGATCGCCGGAATCATAAGTTTACTTGTCTGAGCTTT